CTGTAAAGTTATTTGGATTTTTACAACATTATTGTTGAAATACACAGTCCTGAAAAAGGGACGTTTCTTTTTTTGCTGAGTATATTTTGCTCCTGTGTTCTATCTAAGGTACTCCCCATGTTATAGAATATGGTTCATCATGTTTCACTTTGGTTAAGTGGATGGATTTAACAATGGAAGGCCACGTATGACTTTTCCATTAGTTTGGGCGACACAGGTGACCATGCCCAAGGAACACAAGGACAACGGAATCAGCAACTGCATGGAGAAAGTGCAACAGTGATCCATGGCTCTGCCCACTGCCCCTGTTCCAATGCAGACCTTGGTGTGCATGTTGATGCTTCCATGTCCCACTCTCGCCAGTGTGGGGAAGCAATGAAAAGGCCAATAGGATGTTGGGTTATATCTCTAGGTGTGTGGAGTTTAAGTCATGGGAGGTGATGCTATGATTATACAATTTCTTGGTAAGACCCCACCTAGAATATTGTGTGTAGGTTTGGTCACCATACCTTAAGAAGGACATTGCTGCCTTAGAAAAGGTGCACCATAGGGTTACAAGAATGATTCCTGGTCTTAGAGGAATGTCTTATGAGGAGAGGTTAGCTGAGCTGAATCTGTTTAGCCTTGAGCAAAGGAGACTAAGGGGGTACATGATCCAGGTCTATAAGATTCTAACGGGTCTGGATGCTGTTCAGCCAAATGGCTATTTCAATATTAGTTTAAGTACTAGAACTCATGGCCATAAGTGGAAATTAGTGGGAGAACATTTTAAAATGAATTTGAGGAAGCACTTCTTTACACAGCGGGTAGTTAGAGTATGGAATAGTCTCCCTGCTAGTGTAGTGGAAGCTAAAACCCTGGGTTCCTTTAAATCAGAGCTACATTAGATTTTAACAACTCTGAGCTATTAGTTAAGTTCTCCCCAAACAAGCTTGATGGGCCGATAAGCCTCCTCTCATTTATAAATGTCTTATGTTCTTCTTACGTTCTTAACATATATTTGCATGTTGTGAACTTGAAAAAGCAAAGCAGGAAATTAGAAGTCAAATTGGAAAATGAAAAGACAAAAAAGTTTTTTTTAATTTTTAGAAATTTCATATCTGACTCATAGATGAGTGGAAAATTAACATGCAAAAGGTGCTATTTCATTAATTTCATAAATTTTTTATTTTGGTAGGATTTTTGAGCATAGACTGAAATCTCTATGGCAAAGTGGACATTGTATTTTCATTTTATCATTTAGATTTTTCATTTTTTGCAGAAAAAATAAGCGCTAAAGGCAGAGTGGATGAGAGTTCTGATGACATGCATGTCTGTGGGGCCAAAGTGTTCTAGGCAAGACTAAGTTGGCAGATTCCACCATAGTGCAGCTTGTATTCGCCTGGTTCAAGGTTTGAAACTTGTGAACCGTTTATTTCTGTTATTTTCCTTTTTTTTTTTCCGGACTGCAGTAAACCGTGGATAACTGAAACCACAGTTACTGAAACCGCAGATACAGGGGTCCCACTGTAAAGCAATAAATATAGTCTATATATGCAGAAGAGGGGAAAACGCTTTCCGCACTCACCGCAGTGGCAGCCTGAGGCCCAGTTTGTGGCTGCCGAGCCTGAGCCTGTCCAGGCTTGGCCTGCATCTGTGCAGCCTGTGTTGCTTGTTGCTGTGCTGGCCCAGCTGGCTGTTGCTGTCGTGCTGTTGAAGTCTGTGGCTGCGGCGGTTGCTGCTGCTGCTGCGGCTGCTGCTGCTGCTGTTGCTGCTGCTGTTGTTGCTGCTGCTGCTGCTGCTGCTGCTGCTGCTGGGTGCGTGGCTGCTGCTGCCCCTGGGGCTGTAGACCATCCTGCTGCTGCGAGGCAGGCTGCCGGCTAGATGGAGGCCCACCAGACGACCGCTGCTGCTGGCTGGATGCCTGCTGCCTTGACGAGGATGGGTGGGATTGTAGATCCTGCTGTTTCCTGGATGTCTGTTGATGGGGGGATGAGGACGATTGCTGCTTCTGGGACCTCTGGCTGGAGTGGTGGTGGGTCGATGGATCACGGTAATCTGAAGAGTGGTAGCCCTGTGAAGACCGGGAGTCAGTCCCACCCCTTTTTCCAGAAGAGGATGACACCTGCCGGGAATCATGGCGTACTGAGGGGTCCTTCATGTGTCCTTTAGAGGACCTAGAGGATCTGGGTTCTTCAGAGTGGCGTGAAGAAGAGGAATGTCTCCCAGAGGTGCCACTGTGATGCCTGTGGTCCCGAGATGAGTGGCGTGGGTGACCGTAGTCATCTTGTGGCCAGAGATCCTCATCAGGAGGTTCATCATAGTCGTGATATGTGTGCTTGACATGGTTTCTCCGTTGCGAGGATGAGTGGCCACTGCTGTAGTGTCTGGACCTGTCAGAGCGAGCATCCCGCGGCTTCTCAAACCAGTCTGTTTCTTCCTGTCCCAAATGATAGGCTTTGGAGGCAGAAAAAAAACAGTCAGTTGCTATATTTAGTAATGGGAGAAGCAAAACTCATGCCATGCAGGAAAAATTAAATTGCCTACAATGAATAGCATGCAGGAAACAAATCCCATAAATCCACAAATTTAAGAAAGACAACAAAGAACTACAACAAAAGATAGCAAACAATGAGAAAGCTACACAAGGTCATCAAACCCACTTACTAGACAGTTTGAAAACACAATGCTGCATGAAACATGCTAGAACACAAACGAAACGGACTTATAGGAACATGCAGTGTCAGTACTGGGCACAGCATTCACACTGACATCCAGTTCAGACAAGAGCAGCTAGTTGCTTAAAGACGCAACACTGACATGCAAATTTTTCTTTTGGGTGGGGGACGTTAAGGTAGGCATTGTTTGGCATTCAGCTCCAATTACCTTCGCTGTCAGACACAGCACAATGCATATCATCTATAATGTAAGAATCATCTGGTTTGTAGACATGGCTCCTCGGCAGGTCCTTCATGTGGTCCTGCACATCAGGCAAGGAGTGGCTAGAGCCGTACTGATTCCGAGCGTCAGCTGGCTCTGGCCCTACTGAGCCTCGTCCAACGCCCATGAGCTTCCCCACAGGGCTGAGCGGGCTTTCCTCCTCTGAGGTTTGGGAGCGCATAGAGGGCCTGCCACGGCTGTGACTACCCCTGTGTGAGCGATCCACGGTGTCCCTCTCGTAGGACTTGCTCCTATGGTTGCCCGAATCTCTCGAAGATATCTTGTCCATTCCGTAGCCTGTCGATCTTGACCGTCCGGAGCTGTACATGCGGTCATCTTCCTCAAGTGCCTCACGACTGGACATGCCATAATACTTTTGTTGATCATAGACATTCTTCTTCAACCCATAAGTGATCTCGTCCTGAAGCTTCTTAGCCCTAGATACAACAGTGCAGCTACCACCAGTAGAAGTAGTTATAGTATATGAGGCCAGATCAGACTCAACATCTTTTGCCTCTTCAATAGGAGAGAATTTAGAGATCTTCTGCTCCATGCCTTGTTTTCTGTGTTTGCTTCGTTTGGAGGACATGACAGCTGGAGCCAGACTTTTAGAGGAATGCTTCTGCACTCCCATGCCAGAGCTGCTACGTGTAGAGTGCTTGTAGTCATCATAGTAATATGAGCTTCCCCCACCCATGCTGCTGCCCATTCGGCCATGACTGTCTGAACCTCGTTGGTGGTAGCTGCTGGTGCTCTTACCCCTGCTGTGGTGGTCATACAGGTCTTCCTCAGACTCCTCCTCAGTCCTGCCGTAGGAGCTTGTTCTTGTGGAGATGCTCTCACTTCCATACCGTGCACTTGTAGGGTGTCCATGGGATTGCAGTGTGTCGGTCTTGTGCATATCTGAGGATGGAGCCATGCTCTCTTTCGTCAGCTCATTAATGTCATCTATCATGACATAATTTCGAGGTACATTTTGCTCAAGGTTAGAGTAGACACCCTCTGAAGTATAGGCAGATGATGGACTGTCAACTGAGTGGATCCGGTCAGACAAGGTTGTCTCTGGAGGTTTGTATGATCCGTAAGTGTTGGACATAGTTGTATTATACTGTCCATAAGTATTTGCTAAGGTTGTAGTGTACTGTCCATAGTTATTAGACATAGTTGTGGAATATTGCCCATACGTGTTAGTTAAAGTAGTGGTATATTGTCCATAAGTGTTAGTCACAGTTGTGGAGGTGTAGGTAGTATCTTGAGTTAGGTTGGTGACAACTACAGTGGGATTGCTGATCACCTCATAATTTGTTGGAATTTTCTGCTCTAAGTCAGCTAAGGAGGTCTGCCGTGGTCGCTGGTGAACGGTAAGGATTTCAGCTTGTGGTTGGAAAGACTGGCCAGTCTGGAAGCCTGTTTGGGTGGGGTATGGCAGGGTCTGTGATGGGTATGGGGGTGGGCCTGGAGGAGGCTGGAATCCCAGGTGGGGTGGTTGCATACCCAGATCTGTTTGATAGTTAGGTTGACTCTGGGGGAAGCTGGGAGGTGGGAATGTGCCCTGATAATTTGGGGGAGGTTGGTGGGTCTGTAAGGTACTTGACTGAGGAAGAGGAAGAGCTTGTGTAACTGTTGGGTATTGTGGAGGCTGGAATCCTGTTTGCTGATAGGTTGGGGTTATCTGTGGAGCTGACTGACTTTGTGGGTATTGGTAGGTAAGGAAAGATGAGGTAGGGGGATACTGTGCTGTGTTCAGATCGGGAGTGAACTGACTGAGTGGGGCAGTACTCGGTCTTGAAAGAAGCCCATTACCTTCATAGGTGCTAGCCATAATACGGATATTGTTCAGCTCACTGTCTGACATGTAATCCCGGGTATCACCCATGCAGCGGATATAGGCCAGCTCTCTCCTCTCTCTTTCTTTCACAAGTGTCTCCTTGCGCTGTGTGATGCCAAGCTCTAGGTACCGCAGCTTGGCATCAATCTCCTTCTCCTCCTCCTCCAGCTCTGCTTGTTGCTTGCGCAGCTTAGTGGACTCCTGTTCCACCACCTTCAGCTCATGTGTGAGGTCCTTCAGGAGGCTTGGCTTGGTGGCCATCATTGGTCTGGGCCCAAATTTCTGAGTCAGAGTTGGCATATACATCTGAGGCAAGGCATGGGTAACAATGGGGAGGTTGCTTTCCTCGGGCGGAGGGCTGGGCAGTGTTCTCTTCACTTTCCGCATCAGTGAGCTCTGCTGTAGGGCAGCAAGCTGAAAGGCAGTGATACATGTTATCAGTTGGCTCCGCATAGTAATCCTTACACGCTACAGCTCAATTTGCTTTTAAAACTATTTCTATTTCTCTTATAACCCTTCATGACATGTGTATTTCATTTATAACTGTTTTTGACATATGTATTGTATAGCTGTCATCTGTACTTTTATTTATCCATTCCAAATGCAAGGATTAAGTGTGCGCTTTTGACTTTCTGAAATTATACAGTTCTTATATATCTAGAAATATAGAAACAATGAAATTGCTAAATACCCACTAAAAGTAACTGAGTTCTATAGCACTGTTTATCATGACAAAAGAGAAGGGCCACTTACCCACATCTAATTTTTCCAACATAAAAATATTCATATAAATGCTAATACTAAAATAAATACATTCCAACTGAAGAAACTTTATTTTAAATTGTCAAAAATACAATTAACCATAAATAATTTGAATACATTTAAAAAGAAAACTGATAGCATCAACTAGGCAATTTACCAAACGGGGAGAAATTAGCCACAAAAATAGCCGACAAAGATATTGGTAGTGTTGAGTTGTAATTTACAATGTTTGGTGTTTCTGTAGGCATTGAAAGGGACTTGCTGTACACTCACTGATAAGAACTGCATTCTTATGAATGTTTCGTATTTGGCTCTGATGTTCTCTTTCTGCAGTGACACAATTTCTTTCTAAAAAAAAAAAGTTGCAACTGAGTATCTGAGAAACTTGCAAGATGAAATACTGCCTTCATTAGTTTATATAATTCTTATTCATGTTTTGTCTTGGGTATCTCTACTGATTTTTCTGATTGCATCCGGTATGTAAAACTTGTCTGATCCAACCTACCTGGCTTTGCAGAGCTTGTTGGTGGTACAGGGAGAGTCTGGCACGAGCAGTGTCCTCTGAAGTGGGGCTGAGAGGTTTGGGGTCTGACAATGATCGCTGTACGGTCTTTATTGGCCTCGGCAATGTTTGGTGACGTTGGGGACATTCAGAAATGAAATGCTTTTGAGGTGTGACATGGGCTTTGTTGAGCCTCTCACTTGATGACAGAGAAGTTTCCAACAGTCGATGAGGGGAAAGTGGAGAGACGGGTGAGTACAGAACCTGGGGTGACTTGGGAGCCTGACGTACAAGGCCAGAGAGAGACTCATTGTGCAGATGATGGGACTGGTAAGTTATTTCCAGTGGATCAGGCTTCCTTCTCTCAAACTTACTAAGTCCTTGCTGTCGTGGTGAAAGGGGGTCTGCTGTGCCAGAACCAATGATTTGGATACTGCTGGAGTACGGGCTGATGGTGGTGGGTACAGTGAGTTGAGGTGTGATCAGTACTTGAGCTTGGGCATCGGTTTCAGTCTGGCAAGCAAGACTCTCCCCCTTCTGAGTCCTTTCTGGTGCAGAAATATAATGCACAATTTCAACTTTTGGGTCAGGTGTAGTAATATGGATTGCAGGTGAAATTCTCCCTAGCTGCTCTGATTCAGTCTGACATGAACAGTCACGAATCGTCTGGATGGCGATGCTTGACGATGCAACTTTGGAGGTTTCAGCCTTGCTGTCGGCTGTAGACTCAGTATGCTTTGAAAATCGAGAACGTCTGCGCCTGACTGGCTGTTCCCACTCTGCTCCGGCTGGCTGTTCCCACTCTGCTCCGGCTGGCTGTTCCCACTCTGCTCCGGCTGGCTGTTCCCACTCTGCTTTGTCTTCATCATCAGTTTGAACACTACAGTCCACACTTCTCCTGGTCCTTCTCCGTCGTGAAATTAAGAATTTCTCTTCTCCATCCTCATCATCAGTCTGAACACAGCTGTCAACAATCCTTTTCGCAACAGATTGATTTGATTCTCCTTCCAGCCCATCCCTCAGGCGAGGCATTGAATTTCTTTTCTTCATAGCTCTTGTCTCGAGAAGTTCTTCATTATTTCTCAGTGACATCTCAGAAGCAGAACTTGGCAACGGCCTTGGAGGCATCAATCCTTGAACACCTGGGCCATCTCCACAAGGTTGCCAGAACTGTCCATTCTGGGTCCTTTGTAGCTCAGGCTGCATGTCTTGCTGTAATATCCTGCCAGTTTGGTCAATAGTGAATCCCTGAGGGGCACCCTCCCCAGCTACTGGTACCACCTGTATTCCACCTTGAACAGCTGCTGCAGCGACAGCGGCCGTTTTCTGCCTTTTCTGTTCCTCAAGCTGTTGCTGAAGCTGTTGCTGGAGTGACTGGATCTGGTCTAGTTGTTGTTTTTGCTGTGCTAACTGTTCCCTTTGCATAACTAACTGGTTCTCCCTCTCAGCTTGTTGCTGCTGAATGACCTGCTGCTTGATAGTCTGCAGCTCTTGGATTTCACGCTGCACTAACATTTGTTCTTTCTCCCTATGACGCTGTAGCTCCAAACGCTCCCTTTCAAGCTCTTCCTGCAAACGTATTTGGCGAAGTTTTTCCAGTTCCACACGCTCTCGTTCTATATTCAGCAGTTGCTCCTGTTGTCGACGCAGCCTTTCCTCCTCCTTCTCTTTCTCGAGGTTACTGCTGCTGATAAGAACAGTGGTTCCAGGGGCTGTTGCAGCTTGAGTAATCAACTGGGTTTGGGCTTGAAGTTGTGTTTGTGGTTGTGTCTGGGGCTGTGTTAGAGCTGTAGGAAGTTGAGTTTGAGGTTGGATTCGAGGATGTGGACTTTGATGTGGGAGTGGAGCTTGATGTTGTATGTGTGCTTGGGTTAGCATTTGAGAGTGAGCTGGGCTTTGCATTTGGGGATGTATTGGCATTTGATGATGAGCTGGAGATTGAGTTGGCAATTTAATTTGTTGTTGCATCTGGGGTGGTACTTGTGGCTGAACCTGAGGTTGAATTTGCTGCTGTACTAGCATTTGAGTTGGCATTTGTGATTGTGAAAGTTGCATTGTGTGATGTAGTTGTGGTTGTTGGTTTGTAGGTACAACGGATGGAATCACAGATGGCACTAATGTAGCAGGCATACTTGGTGCAAGTCCACCTAAGTGGCTTGCAGTTTGAGTAACCTGAAGAGGAGCAGCAGTTCCCATTGTAGTAGTTGCTGAAGTAGTCACTGATGGCTTTCCTAGATATACAGGAGTGTCTTCAACTATATTTGTAGCTGGTACAGTTACAGGTCCAGTGGCAATTGGGAAACGGTTAGGAGGAGGATATCGGTAAGGCCTTTGTGAGGACAGAGGCATCCTTGGAGTTACAACAGGCATTCTGGTCAGACTAGCTAAAGGTACAGCTGTCATAGTAGTTGCAGGATAAGGTCTGTAAACTCCTCTAAGCATTGGCTGTAGTACAGATGCAGGCTGGGTTGTGATTGGCAAGGTAGAGGCAATAGGGGTGTTAATTGTAGAGTATATCATGCCATCTGCAGCCCTGATTGAAGATGGGTGCAGTGCTCTCAGGCCTGCTTGCCTTATGCCTGCTAGATTAACATAAGGTTGATTAGTCTTCCTCCCGTCGGTACCGTACATCAAACTGGCTCTTATTGATGCTATGCCTTGCAGGTTGAGTGCACCTTCAGGACCAACTCCCCTTGGAGAGCCATACTGCAAAAGTTCTGGATTACTGCTATATCTCCCACCAAACTGGTCCATTGAATTCAGAGCTGCACACATTCGACTGATTTCTCTGGCAGTAGTGGCACTATACTGGGCTAAATTAGCTTCCTGGGTACCAGAAATTTCACGTGAAGAATAGCTGGAGTCAGTGTTAATGTTTGACATGGAGCCATAGCGCCGTATAGGTAAGGATTGACCTGTGACATCTCCCTGGTGACGAAGATCTGTGTAGGATCCATACTGCGTACCCATGCCAAGGTAACCCCCTTCATAAGTTTGTTTCATAGTGCTTAAATCCATAGCTAATTCTGCAGAACCTTGCAAATTAGAATCATTCTTTGTCTGGTAGTAATGGATTCCAGTTTCTGAAAGATTAGTGTCTGAAATGGATGGTGGTAACCCCTCATTCAATGGCAATTGATCATATTGAAGGTTTTCTGGTCCAGACTCTTGCATTCTTTTCCCATATAACTCTGAAGAAGGATGGGTACTCTGCACAGCTTCTGCTGTCTGAGTTTTCTCTGCTGCTTTTGGCTTCTGAGTAAAGGGGCCTCCACTACAACTTCCACCAAAGGGTAGTCTATACACAACATCACAGCAAGCCACCTGATTGTCTGCTTTGATCTGACCAGTTAAATCAATTGCATCTGCAGTTTCTTCTGATTTAACCAGTTGGCTCATTGGCACTCGTGAAGTATTGTCCAATTGCACCATCATAACTTGAGGTTTAACCGTAGACAAATTCATGACATTGTGTTTAGTCTTAAGGTCCAAGGTCCCAGCACCATAAATATCTTGAGAAAGGCCAGTTGCAGCTTGATCAGAAAGAGGGGATGCCCTGGGAATTGCACTTACCACAGCCTTAGTAGTGCTAGTCTGACTCACTAGCAAATCTTTCTTAATCAGTGGTTGAACTTGATTAGCAAGGTTAAATCTTGAAAAGGATGCTGCCTGCTGCTGCTGCTGAAGCTGATGCTGCTGCTGATGATGCTGCTGTAGCTGTTGTTCTAGCTGCTGTTGCTGCTGCTGCAATTTTTGCTGCTGTTTCAGCAGTTGTTGCTGCTGAATGCTCAAGTCTTCTAATTTAGCATCTATCTTCGGGATGGAAGGATCAGTTACCGGTGGCTTGTTCTGAGCCAGACACACTGCCGGACCCATTCCTTGGCCAAGGTCTACTCGATTCTGAAGAGGATCTCCATAAATGACAGGTTGCTTTGGTTGTGATATGAACATGGAGGCTGCGACTGTGATACTCACTGTTGTAGCTGTTGACACTCCAACATGTGGATGTTCCTGGGTATTTAAGTTCATTATAAGTGGTTGAACAGCTGTGCAATTATGATTAGGGCTTCCATCAACACCCATGGAGTACTTGCGTGTTTCTGTTGCCAAAGATGTTAAATCCATCCCCTGATCTGTCATGATTACTGGAGTTGGTTTTGATATGGTTCTCAAGTCAACTAAACTGCTACTAGGTAACATTTGGCCTTGTTCCACTCTGGAAGTTCCAGGAACAGTAGAAATTCTACACAAGGAGATATTTTCCATAGACAATGATCCTCGACTGTAAGTGCTTGCTGTAGTTACCATGCTTGTGCCAGCATTTACTTTTTCCACCATCTTTGTCTTATAAATGGTGTGTTGTGGAGAATGGTAAGGTGGCGATGCTGGGGGACTTGTTTCAGCATAAGCATGAAATGTTAGCTGATGACTCTTTGTTGGTGATGAAATGGGAGAAGTCGAGGAATTAACAGTTACAGGCTTACTAGGGCTGGTTGGCTCTGAGCCTAATGTTATTACTATAAATGGAGACTCTTGAGAGGACTGTTGTCTAGAAAGGCGTGGTGAAACTCTGTGTGGTGTCTGGGTTCCTTGTGCCGTAACAGGAGATGTGGCACTAGGACTAGTAGGAGCCACTGACATAGCAGTAATGAATGTTTGTGTAGAGAACTCAGCTGTTGCAGTTCTGGATGGAGAGCGTTTAGGGCTCTGTGTAGGAGAGCCAGATGGGGAAAGAGGAGGGCTTGATCCTTTAAAATAGGAATAAACTTTAGATGTTAGCGATTCATTTTCTCGATCAGAGGATGTTGCTTGAATACCTCTGTTTTCTGCAACCCTTTTTCCAGCACTTTCTCTCTGACTGTAGGCCTGAGTTATCTCTGCTATTTTGCTGGAAACATTTGAGGGAGTAACTGTCTGGCGACTATATTGTGTTGTGGTTGCAGTTTGACTGACTACAGTTTGGGAAACAGTTGCTGTATCTCTAATATAGCTTCCGTATGCAGCAATGGTGGTTGCAACAGCAGGTATACCACTGCTTTTAGTTTGACTCCTAATTTTTTCTCTCTGTCCTTCTTTTGAAAAATGCTGTGTTACTCGAACATCAGGAATCCCTCTTACTACTGTTACACTGGTCTCTGTTCCCGTGGAGACAAATGAGACAGGTGCTGAAAGCTGAGTTGGACTAGTCCCTGGAGTTAGGAGGGCATTATTTTGTTCAAGTAATTTAGCAAAAGCTGAACCAGTATCTAAAAGCTGCTTGTCTGGGTAAGAGTCATCTATTTCCATTTGATCTACTTTCTGCTGTTTTAGCTCATGGGTGGAAGACTGGTGCATTTTTGTGATGTTTTGAGATGTTTGACGAATCTCCTCATAGATGTCACCAGTCTGAGACACATTGTTGTCATAGCCACTTTGATCAAGATTGTTGTAATCATATTCATCCTCATACTGTTCCTGCTCATGTCTTAATTCCTCCTGCTGATGTGAATTGTCATATTGCTGTCCTTGTCTCACTTGTGTTTGCTGCTTCTGCTGTTTTTGCAGCATCTCTGCCTTTCTCATCATTTCCTCATAGACCTCTTCAGCACTTTTCAGTGGCTTGCTGGATGAAGAAGAGGTGGTAGTAGTGGGTTTTTCAGTTGGGGAGTAGAGTGACATAAATGTTGGTAAATTATACTCACTCCCAGACTTATACAGTTTGGAAGCTATCATTTCAAAACCTTCTGCCTCAGAATCAATAGATGGTGAGTATTCTGAGCAGGAAGATCTGTGAAGTTCCTCCATTTCAGCTGCCTGTCTCAGTTCTTCTGTAGGAGATGCATCTTCAATTGGGGAAAGGTTACTTGGAGGTGTCTTGGATCGTTCCCTACGTCTTTGTGCTCTCAACTCCTCCTTGTCCCTTTTAGTTTTTCGAGCAGTGCTCCGAATCCTCTGCTGCTCTACTTCTCTCATCTTTTCCTGTTCTCGTAACAGTTCCTCTTCTTCCCTCAGCTCATCTTCCTCAGATGAATCTTCAATGGTTGGAAGAAGTGGGCCATGAGACCGATGCCGGGCTTTCCTCTGCTGTTTGGCTTCCTCAAGCCTCTGTCTACGACTGGGACTGCTGTCACTATCATCCTCCATGGAAGACACAGATGTTGGAGACGTACCAGATGTATAACTTGGTGTAGTTGCTGGAAGAGTTGAAGAATATTCCCCTCTTGATCGTTCCTCAGGAGAGCCAGTCAGACTCTCCATTTCCAGTTCTGGTTCACGGTCTAAGCTAAGGTCATTCTCATTGCTAAGCTCCATATCACGGCTGTAGCTGCTTGTGTTGTTCAACTCAATGGTTTTGAAACGGCGTAACCCTCCTTGTGAGGACATAATATCTTCCTCTCCATCTTCACCAGCACCCTGGTAGCCATCATCACCTCCTTTACTGTCCTCTTCATAGCTGCTTGAGTGATGTGTGAGTCTGCGTTTCTCTCTCCCAGAATCGCTACTGTGCTTATGCATCTTTTTTGGTTTTTGGTAACTATATTCTTCATCATCTTCATCATTAATGTCCTCATCAGCACTCATTTCCAAGATCTGCCGCCTCATGAACTCTTCATCTGTCATTTCTTTCTCTGATTTTCTTGACCTGCCAGGTATAGGAGAGAAACCACTTTCACTACTATCTTCTACGTAGTCATGACGCAGTTTACTGCTAAAATCATCTGAGGACTCTCCTGGACATTCGCTGAGGTCATGTTGGTCCTCCCAGTCAATTGGGTCCTCATCCTCCTCAAGGATGTCTTCCAGCTCCTCGTCTGAGTCATATGCCTCTGGGGTGATGGACAGAGATCGTGGACGCTGCTTCTTATCATCAACCTCCCTAGAGTCACGTTGGTGCTTCCCCCGTTCCTTCTTCTGCTCCTGATCAGAGATGGACTTTGATTCCAGCAGAGGTCGCATGGAGCTCTCAAGCTTTGTTATCTCAGATGGGCTCGGGGGGCTTTGCTCACCAATACCCCTCTCACTCAGCTTCATCTCCTCTTCTTGGATCAGTCCTGTGATTTCACTATGAGAGCTGGAGATCCCATCAGAGGAATAGCCTGTATCACTCTGACTCTGAGGACTCCGTGAAAGATCCGGGGTGCTGGACTTAGTGGTCTCCTTAAAAACAAAAATGTAGAATACAGACTTAAAGTCAGAATAACAATATGTTGATTTCAATTTTCACATATTATTTATGTACATTTTATTTTAACTAATTTGAATGTGATAATTTGATGTTTGTAATACAGTGGAACCTCGGATTACAAGTAACGCGGTTTTATGAGTGTTCCAAAAGACCAGCAAAGATTTTTTATAAATTTTGACTTGGAAACCGAGCAAGTCCTGGTTTATGAGCGCCAAGTATCATCAAAAATCATATGGCACACATGCGCTCCTTGTTTTTCTTGTTTTTACGTGCGCTCGGCTTCAAAACAGGAAGCACATGCGTGCGCTTCTTGTTTTGACGCCGAGCGCACGTCATCACAACTGAATCAATGGTTATTCACTTTCTCACGCTGCGGAATTGTGGGTAATCGTCTCCCATGCTCGGTCTCAGTCGGCATGCCTCACTCGTATAGTAAAAATTTAGTAGAAAAGCACCACCTGAATAAGGGCGTAGCAGTGCGAGCGATGAATCTGTTGAACGACAATGCAATGTCCATATTTTTGCTAAATCGAAAAGGAGGCAAAATCGGCTTCCTTGTTAATTAAAGTCACACAAACAGAAAAAGATTCCAGTGAGCCAACAGATAGCAGTGATTCCGTTAATTATAGTGAAAGTCGTCCTACAAAATAACCCTCCTCTTCCCCTCTCTCGTCTCCCTCACACCATCCACGATTCTTTTCAAAGGTAAAGCGCAGGTTAATTTGTTTTATGTATTTTTACTTTATATTTTGTATTAATAATTTTTATATGAATATTTTTGAGTTGTGGAACGGATCATATGAGTTTCCATATTTCTAATGGGAAAATTCGCTTTGATATACGAGTGCTTTGGATTACAAGCATGTTTCCGGAACGAATTATGCTCGTAAACCAAGGTACCACTGTACTTTGGATTTTTCTTTTAATGAAGGTTAACACACAAGCAAACCAATAATCCTTCATCGTTTTAGTCTGTTTAGTTGCCATCTACTTCATCAGTGTTATTTTACATTTTTGAAAACAAATCCAGAAGAGAGAAATGGAAGAGAAATAACTCAACTTTTTGCAATTGCTACACTGTTTAGGTTTTGATCTTTGTTTGTATGCTGCATTGCATTTAGTATCCTAGCAACAAACCAAAAAACAAAGAGCATATAGTATCTATCATCCTTCTTTTGCACTTAGGCTGTATAGGCTGATACAAAACTACTCACATCATGATGCCTAGACTTCTGAGACTCTGTTTTTTTCATGTCTTTGACCACAGGTGCTGTTATGATCTGTTCTGGTGTCCCCTTCTTTGGTGCCAATTTGATGTCTTTGGAAGGTGTCACAGCAACAGCCTCTTTGTCTTGTTTTGGCATAGCCTTGTCCTTCTCTGTGGTCTTAGGCTGTCTTTGAGCCTCTCCATTGACTGCAGGTGTGGCATGGTGTGGTGTGGTGTCATGTCGTGCCTCTGCAGGCTGCTTCACTGCTGAGGGGAGCGGGCCACTTCCTGAAGCAGCTGGAAGCTTCTGCTGCTGCTGCTGCTGTTGCTGGGTTGGGGGTTTCTGCTGTGACGGCTGCTGCATCTGCTGCTGATTGGCCACTGGCTGATGTCGAGGTGATCCTGCAGGCGGCTGCTTTGGCGGCAGCTGAGAAACAGGAGGTGGCATATCTCCCAGACCACCAGACATTAATCTCTGCATTTGACAATTCAAGCAGAGCCATTCTTCCTTCTGTAAAAAAGCAGTGAAAAAATAAAAAGCATGAATTAATTTTATGACCACTGTGGAATTTCTACAGTTAATTTCAACCAAATTAATGAAAAGCCAAGGAACTTGATGCATCTTTGAATGCACAATTTTCTTAATGCTATACATTAGCTACCTTTAAAATGCAATCATAGAACATTCAGGGCAAGGTATACTTACATGCCGCTTATGAATGCATTATAAATGCATTATAAAGGTGCAGTTAAATGCAAAGTGTTACCATATTTTTTTAAGTTACTATAATTATATCACTCTCCTTTTTGGTTTCAGAAAATGGAAAAAGAATATTATATTTTTTAACAAAATGTTAACGCCTAAATATACTGCAAAAATAGTATCTGGCACTTTGTATATTTTATAGAATACACATTTGTGACAGAGTGCCTACTTCTTTAGTGCTATGAAATGTGGTATCTTAATCAAGACGGAAGAATAAGGCCTGGTTAATTCCAGATAATAATTTAGAACCTTTAGAAACAGAAAATTTGCATAAAATTAATGTTCTGAATCCCAAACAAATTGTATTTATGTTTTTAAATAGTCAAAATAATATAAAAAAAAATACTCCCCCATGCCTCATATTACACAGCATAATGAATATGAATGTGCCACAAGTGGGTAGACATCCATTCATCCATCCATCCATCCATCCACTGATCTTCTATAGCATATTATGCAGTGCAGGGTCATGGTAAACCTGGAGCCTACAACCAGGAAATGCAGGACACAAGGCAGGGGACACTCTACATGGGATGCCAATCTATCATAGGGCCAGACAATCACACTCTAAGGCAATGCAGAGACATCAGTCCACCTAATCTCACGTTGTTTGACTATAGGAGAAAATCTGCACAAACACTGATGAGGAAATGGAAATGCCACACAAATAGAGCCAGGGGCAGGAGTCAAACCCCAAACCCAGAGGTGCTACAGTGCCGCCCACTGTGCCTTCAATGTGGCCCCAGCAGGTCAACGGTTACATTACTGTAACAGTCATTAAGCCAAAAAACATACAAAGGCATTTGGTCTGTCACTGTAACATTTATGATTAAACAATTAATGTCTGTGGCAATTCCATGAAATACAGAAAATCATACATTCAAAAATCTATTAACTTTCAAGAACAGGGTTCTCTCAGAGTTGCAACGTATAGTCTGATATTATCAGTGCATTCTTTACTCAGCTTCAATAAATAACAGAAATACAATCAAATATAATATGGAAAATAGTGATGCCTTCAGTGGACAATTCTGTTACAGATCACTGATGGTATCACACACGGTCAATAGGATTCTGGACAGGAGACGATGAGATGGAACTAATGGAACTATTTCGATTATAAATGAATCCATTTTGGCTGCTCGTGAGTTAAACCAAAAAGTTGTATTGGATTTTAAATATTAGATAAATATATTAATCCTTATTTCCATCTATCCATGTTTCATTTAGATATTCTATGTAGGGTTGGGGAGAGACCAGAAGCCAGTTCCAGTCTGCACTGTTCCAGACAGGAATATACCCTGACTCTGTGAGGATGTAATTCCTGTTAACTGAAGACAAGAAGGACGCCATAACATTCAATAATTAAGGGAAAGACAAAATGCAAATTCTTGGGAAAGAAAACCTGACTGTTAATGGGAAGATAAAAGCATTTTCATGACTCAACAACTTTCCCCTTCTGATGATCAAAGCTTCCACAAGCTTACAATGATGAGTTATGCTATCATGGCTATGACAGACTGATGAAAAATAAAGCAATATTGATCAAGGAACATCTCTGTTTTGGGTTTAACAATAAAAGTTCTTTACTCATCACTATGTGATGAAAGTCTCAAGACCTCCTATCTAATTGGAGTAGACTTTCAACAGTCACGGAAACAATACAAAGTCACATCAGATTTTAGACTTATCTTAAGATTCAATAATACCAACTAATGTTTTACAACAGACATCCAAAAGTATAACTAAAATGTTTCAATTCTGCTGTCAATTTGAGGCTGCCGATCATTGACCTGTAACAGCGTGGAAAGGACAAAAATATTATTTGTGTTTGTGTGTGTGTATTTTGTGTGAATTATTTACTACATATTCAGTTTACACCCTGCTGAATTTCTACAATGCCCCAACCCCATTACTGCGACAACCTAAGATATTTACAATGGTAAAATTATCCTACTTTAGAGAGTGTTGACTTGCTGCTTGTTTGAAATACCAAAAACCATCACAATAAAAGTGCAATTGTGGCCTTCACAAGCAGAGCAATGCCTTTCAGACCTTAAGAAATACCTCTCAAAGTAAATCAAAATGAGCATTTATGTATTACTCATTCTTTCTGCCAGCCAATATTTCCCCCGCAACACCATTACAGGGCTATTTTTTATCATACCTGAAACTGGTCTGTGACATTTTTTTTCCCTTAACACCATGCTACAGGTTCTTCATATAGCAACACAAACACTGGATAAGAAAATGTAGAGACCTTTTATAGTTTCACAGATGGACAGTGGAATGTCATAGCATAGTGCAAGACTGTGGAAGTGCAAACATTTGCAAAATGTACATTCAGTTACAATACTCTTGAACACCGCAGGGCAGGTTTTTAGTGAAGTGCTTTTTCAAATGTTTTGCAAAATATTGGGTGTCAGAGTGACATATGTGCAGTCCTGCAGTGTACTGCAGTGGTTGCAGAGCAACTCCTTTTCAACCTTGTAGCCAACCAATCCGGTTACACAGCATATTTCACCACTGTACCAGCCTCACCACTGATTTATCAGGTTTCATAATAACATCTTGACCACATGAGAACAAGGTCACTGAATAATATCCAAATCTTTTTTCCCTGAGCATACTAGCAGAAAAATAAACCCGTTAAGCTACAGTAATGTACAAAAGTCTTAAGCAGTCAAAGGAAAACTTTTAAGCTATTCATCTTGGCAGTAAGTGTATATTTGCTCAGAAAAGAACACAATATAACAGTAAATTAGCAGTATGCAAATTAACAGTAACACAATAAAAACTAACAAGAATTTCTTCTGTTCTCCAAAAAGTTACTGATACCTAAGGGGCACCTCAGTCATTCCATACGTATTCATTAATTTTCACCACCAGCTCTTTAACTTAATTAGTTAAATAACTTAATAAGGTATTGATTAGCCAAACAAGATGTGTTAGTGGTTGAGTCAAAAAATACATGAGAGAATTGGATTGTTTCTGCAAGTACTGGGGTGACTTCAGGAGACATTTTGAAATGGCTAAGCTGAGAGACATAATATGATAGTTTTACACCATCAAGAAGATCACTACACATGATTTTCTTTGACTGGCTATGATTTTTGCACAACACTGTACATTTATGTTTAATTCAATTAGCAGATATCCCCACTTACATTAACTGACATAACCAGAGTGACACACAAACTGACAAAAACATAGTATACTGACAACATGCCGATTACAGTATTTTAGTAGGTCTTTGTAGTTTAAACTACCATTGGACTAAAAAAACTGTGTAGACTACATTTAGTGGAATAAACCGAGGTCTTTTGAGTCTTTGGTTTGAATTAAAATAAGGGAAGTGATTCAGCAGTTCTGATGGATGTTGGGAGCTGACTTCACCAGTGGGGGGCAATGCTACAGAATGTGTGAGATATGGAGGGGTGCATGTACGCGACATCAGCTATTAAATGTCCAACCATTGCTAATAATAGAGTTCTGGCAGGGGTGTAAGGATTGATGATGTCCTGTGCATAGTAAGATCCTGAGCCTTCAGTTGCTACTGTAAGTAGACAAGGACCTGTATCACAATTGTTCTCTCGATTAATGTAATGTAACGTAACGTAATCTAATCTAATCTATAGTTATTTAAATGAACATTTGGTCATTGTAAGTCAGCAGGATGTTTTGAACTAAGAACATGTGCACAACTATGATGTTGTTAAATTAACCAAAATTAAGCAGCATGCTTTGGAATCATATGTTACATTTTCAAACTGCAAATAGTTCGCAATTTCTAATGTTGAAGTAAACATGACACAGAGAATAACAAGTCCCTTAGGGTAGAAAAGGTGTTGCGGCATATTATCTGCCTCTCTTTGTCGTTGTGAACAAAAGCATCTAACAAATAAATGTAAATGCAATATTGTAACTTCGAGCAGGATGTTTCTTTTAAACCACTTCATTGAATATTCAGGTGTTTTAAATTGGGTAAAATGGCTAAAACCATTAGCATTGTTTTGGATGAATGCACCTGCTAAGCAACATCATGATGAAGAGTAGCAGGAGAATATATCATGTGATATCATGCAGCTAAGAAAGTATTATATCAGTCCCAAGGGATACTAAAATGCCGCTCTCACACATAATCAGTCACCAACAATAATTTATGTACCACTTACTCCTGAAGTTGCTAGCAAAAAGTTGCTACCTCCCAGATGAAAGACAGTTTTCCATTAACAATAACCTGCACGCTGGCATTTGGATACTAATGGATACCACAAGTATTAATCTGTTCACCTGATTTGTTATGTTTTTTAAATTGAGGCAGCTACACCTATACATTGACAATGGAAAGAAAGTTTAGAAAGGCCCTTTCTTACAAGGGTTATATTTTAATGTACTCATAGCCAAGAATCAAGAGAAAATGTCATTCTGAAGTGATGTAGTTACAGATGTCAGGTATGGGGAGCAGAAATAACACTGGCATCTAAACCATTTCCAGGAGTGTGACTTTTCGATCAAGGCACACCGGTAATGTCACTTGTACATGTTGTGATACTGCCAAGTCTCTAGAATATCCGTATAGCCTTCTATAATCACTGTTACAGCAAGTCAGAATCAGACACTCACTGCGGGGGTGGGTTTTTTCGTCTGTCTCGTATAAATCCAGAGTCTGTGATGCTGTCATAGAATTATAGTTCCATTATTGTGGGAAGCCTACTATTACTTTCAAAAATACATTATTAAAT